ACATATATATAAATGTATATGTATATACATAAAGCGTTCTGTTGACGTGTCTTTCCAGTTTCACAGTAAGTGTTTCACCGTAACTACTAATTATTATTTTAGTAATCCTTGGCATATCGTTTTTTTAGCTACTCTGAACGTTACATTCTAACTAATTATTTTCCTGCCTTCGCATGCACACCTCGAGCCAAGACTTACTTAGTTCTGTATCCATGCCAGGTCGTGCGAAGTAACACACCCCCTTATTATTTCATTCACCAAGGAAAATATATAAATAAGAGAGTACGTTAATTAGCGGATGCGATCAGTCGAGCGTCTACGTACCAGATGGATTTAATAAACGAAAACAAAGCAACAAAATTGTTACTGTCGCAGATATATTTTCGAAATCAGAAATAGGGCGTATTAGTGTTTATTTGCTGGTTAGTTTCGTAAAATTTATTTATGAGACTAGTTCCCGAAGGAGTCGATAGGGATCGCTTGTTCGACGTACGCACGTACAAACAATATTAAAAGCCACTATACGCAAAGACACGTTTAAGGTTCGATTCTGATGAAAGACATGAATCTCATCAGTCTATGGCTTCCTTAGGTAAACGTTCAAAATCACTGCTCCCACTTCCCTTACCCTACCGCTATCGTTTCGTTCCGTCCTTATCTAAAAGCATCCAAACAAGAAGGAAGACGCTAGCAGTTTTTGATAAACGTGATTTGGGTGTATTTTATTTATGTTTAATTCAATAATAATAATAATAATCATGGTATATTTTTTTTAACTGAGAAGAGACGGCCAGCGGAACTAGTGATTCAGTTTACGTGCGAAGTAGAAATAAACCGAGACGTCGTCATTATCATCATCATCATCATCATCATCATCATCGTCATCTATTGTTCCTCTTCAGCGTCATTATCATCATTGTTATCCTTATCATTATCATCTTCAATATTGACATAGTCGTCGTCGTCGTCGTTATTTTCATCATCATACAACACAATCAAAAAACAGCGAGGGTCGATGGCGGATCGAGTAGCGGCAGTGTCTGTCGCATCCCGAGCGTCCGCCACAGGGCAGCAGCGATGGAAGATGCATCAAGGCCGTTCTACTTTCGTTTGAGGGAGGACAACCGTCGATGCCGCCGATCACAGCGCCTGGTCACGCGTCTGGACGGGGAAACATCTGGCTTCATCGAGTCGCCCGGATCGCTAATTGCATCAGGACCAGCCAGCGTTTTCCGTGCCAACGTGTCGACTTTTGTCTTTGTCTCTTTCTTTCGCACTCCGCTTCTCTTTCTTCTCTCTCTCTCTCTCTCTCTCTCTCTCTCTCTCTCGCGCTCTCTCTTTCATTTCTTTCTTTCTATATATTTATACTTTTATATATAGATTTATTTATATATTTATATATATATATATATATATATATAGATCGCCGACCGCTGACGGATCGGGAAGTTTTTCGGGCGGAAGTCAAAATTTCTAGTCAGTCATTTCAGTGTTTCGTTTGATCTGTACGGTGTTGTTCTTGTTTGTTTTCGTTTCTTGTCTGCATCAAAATCATTATCTTATCAGCCAGTATCAGTAATGTTCCGTGTCAATTTTAGTTTTAACGTCGCCCTAGGACGAGAGATGTTTGATTGGTGTTCATTGAAGATGATGGTACATATATGTATATACGCATATGTTCTCAAGCATCGTCTCGTCGTTTTTGTGTGTTTTTATTTCATTACACTCCCGTAATTCATCAGCTGTTTTTATTTTGCTGTTGTTGACAGTTGGTATTGTTGTTGCTAATAGTATAGTATAGTTGCTATTATGGTTGTTGCTTTCCTGTGTTGTTTTATACACGAACCGTATTATACAAGTACTAAGTATTAACATCAGGGGGCCGCCACGTCCTCGACATTATGCTCACACTTCTCTTTCTGTCGAGTCTGACGGGCCACCATTACCTAATATTTAATAATATGGTTATTAAACACCCTGTATGTTGCTGCTTCTATCAGATCATCTTCTTCGTCATCGTCTTCACCGACGTCCTATGTTCGTCCTACGCTCGCCCCATGCATGTGAATCCGTACAGCATTTCTTTTCGTTGTCGTACTAGTTTTTTTTATTGTTTTTTTTTTGATAGTAACCGGTTATGATGCATTTATTATCAATGCGCCAATAGGTTGGTTAATTCAACAATTAGCAACCAGTGAAATGAATCGTTCATCAGATATTTACTGGATGTATACTTGAGAAATTTAGTTAAGACAGTGAATTTAGTAGAGAGTAAAAAAAACCATGGTAGATAATCATATACTATATTATCTAATCAATACATTGTCTTGTTAGCTTCGATGCCAAATATAATTACAACTGTAATTACGACCCAATTATAATTATTCATTATATTAGTTTTGGATTCTATCTTCTAGAGTCTGTCATTGGCTGCTTTTCTATTGAAAGTATTTGTATCGGTTGGGCTAGCGGTCGGCGTGTCTGCTGGTAGCCACTCTGCTTAGCTATTATTTCTCATTGTCGTCCTCGTTATAGTGTTTTAGTTTTGAGATTTTTACTAATTTTCTGAAATCGAGAACATCAGCCAGATCAGCGTCCAAACATCCAACCAATTCATAACGATCTACTTCTAATTAGCGATCAGTGGCTAGTCGTACTTCAGATACAAAGTCTCTGGTAGGAGAGCTAACTACCCACCTTTCTCCGACCAGAGCCAGAACATGAGGACACGCCGAGTCCAAGGACGTCTCTACCTAGTGTCATTTCCGTCTCTCAAGCTCTTTTCTGTTGTTGTCTTGTCACCATGACCGTCATCATTTTTTAAATTTACCTAAATGAGGGATCATCGTCGCCTGGTCGCATCGATACTTCACTCGATTATAGCCGTGTCACGTCGATCTTTCACTTGATCTCATTTTCACCCGCACACACGCTCATTATCTCAAGTTCTCTATTAGGTACACGACTTTGCCTTGTATCCTAATCTTCTCTCGGTTCATTATTAACTTTTGCATTCACTCTTGTGAACTAACATACGATTACGCCAAAGTCTGTATACGCCAGCATGTCGAGACAGGCGTCTTCCCACACGAGCCTCGATCTTCGCAGGACTATGTACAACGCACAATTACTACTATTATTATTATTACTACCATCATCATCAACATCTTCATGCTCGTCTGAATGATCCATTGATTTGTATTTATGGTTTCAGATTTGTATTGGATTTTGTCTTCTTTCAGAGTCTTAGTTCCTTGTGAGCCTGATGTCGTTACCATTTATATCATTCACCGACCGTTGCCGATGCTTAGCTTTCGACGATTTCAATTTCCGATTTAATAAGAAATATACTCTTGCATTTAATATTGCCCGCCCGGTATTCACTCATTATCGACTATATTGTGTGTGATTTCCCTCATTGACATCGCGGTCGTTCACGTCCTATTTACGATAATAATAATGATAATAATAATAATGATAATAATAATAATAATAATAATAATAATAATAATAATAATAATTGTTATTACATCTGTCCACGATTTAACTAGTCCAAAATACGTATAACCTCAGGCGCCTTACGCCATCGGACTCGAATGCTTTGATTCCACTTTACGTATATTCGGAGCTCACGTTCGGAGAGCGAGAAATAAATATTGGAAAATTAGCTCTGGGCGATGTCGTTTTGGCCCTGTTGAATCAAATTTTCCCGTCTCCGTTGTGAAAAGATACGATGGCGCCCATATGCATGATGCACGCCACCCTGCCATATAGTTTAGCTGAGTTGATCATGTCCAGGCGAGTCAGTAAGCGCCAGGCCACCGTCATGGCTTTGGGAGCCTTTTTTGCGACTTGTCGTGACGACTCATCCTGTCACTACCGCCCCCGGCGCTAGAAGTCGAGAATCTTCTTTGCATAGCCGTTGATTCTGTTCCCCATTCAATGGAGGCGATGATCTCTCGGCAAAATCGTCATTGTAGAAAAAAAGGGTTATTTTCACTTGCATTGTTCCATTTCAACGTGCCTTCGTCTTTCGTTCGCTTCATAGTAGCAATAGCAGTATCAGTAATAATATTTTATCGTCATCACTCGAGGTCTGTCTGTGTATGTGTTCTGTCTCAATCAGCCAAGTTCATCTAATTATCATCATATTAGCTTCGTTATTTCCGCTGCTCTGCATGCGCCTTTTGCTTTGTCTCATTTTTCTGTTCAGCAGTCTTCAGCATCGCCATTTCTCTCCACACAATTGGTAAACGCGTACTTACAACCTATATACAAACTATGATATATCTCTGGGATCATGTTGAGCGAAGATCGTCGTTCAACGGCAACAACCACGTCTGCGGTTCGGCATCCGGCGCACCGCCTTTGTTATTATTGTCTTCATCATTATTCTTATTCCTTTCGTTTCTTCCCTTTTTTTTTGTTAATTATATGATCATCCTTACACTTTCTCATCTTCTAATTATATCTCGATCGTTATGAATTCAGTCAATCGACCTATCCATCTATCATACCGCCATCTCTTCATTAATTTTTCCATTGTGTCATCAATAAAGATCAAGCGGTCAGTCACGGAGTGCCATGACACGCCCGTTACACATCACGGACCATCAAGCGGAACGCCAGGCCATGACTGTTTATAGGCATATCCACAGTCCTGTTACGTGAATACATCCGCCCATTGTTTGCTGCATTTTGTCGTCTGCGCAGCCACATTCAACTTTTTGCCGCTGGCGGTGTCTTGCAGTGTTAAATCCGCGTCATCGATGATGATCATATCAATCTGAGGTGTGTTAGATGCTTCAGAGACCATCGGCGGTAACAGTTCTAACACACAATATAATCAAGATAATATCAGTTCTCTTTAAAATTAACTATCAATGTTATTATCATGCTTGCTATATGCTGGGTATCAGCTGTGTTGATGTTCTTGCTGAAGTGATGCCTGCATCTTCGTCTTCTCAGTTGGTTGGTCTGGGGGGGGGGGGGGGGTCTCTGATGTTTTTCAACCAATTCTTACTTGTTCTAGTGTTTATCGCTCACTGGCATCATTCATTGTGCACATACAGCCAAACAGGCTAGTACACGGTACTGTCTGATACGTGCGGTCTTCGCACGCATCTCTGTGTGCATAATCTTATTATCTAATCATCGTCTCATTATTATTATTACTCGTCATTACCATATGTAATATCATCATTTCCATTGTCAATCATCTTCATTTTCTTCTAGCAGCAGTTTGCCTTGATATCTTGCTAACACAACCATTTACAAAATGTACAACATAATTATAAAGGATATTATTATTATTTCATAATAATTATTATTATACCATTTTTGTAGTAATAGTGACAATATGAATATATCTCATTATTACTCATTGTTAACTTTCAAATGAAACACTTGCGGAGGCCACTCCCGCCAACGGAGGGCCGATCGCAGCGAAACACAAGGGGATAGGGACGACCAATCTGTGGAAAATTTACGATTCGAGTACTACTTGTGGCCGCTCTTGTCGCAGTACGTTAGTAGGTAGGAACCACAGTTGCCCAGCAAATTGAAACCATAACCGCGCACCATGGCGACCAAACCCACTTGGAGAAAAGTGAGGGGTACGAATAATAGAACTGGTGTCATTCTATCACTTTACCCCCGCCAAATACCGTTCCTTGATGAGAAGAGTCTAATGAAAGCACTTTTATCTTAGGCTGCTTTTAAACCTTTTCCACTAAGCAAGAATAACGGATACACAATAAAGTTCCTGAAGCTCGAATCAACGGCTCGAAACGTACCTGCACCCTCAAGACAGACAGTTGCCTGTCTGGCGCGAGTTTTAAACGCGAGAAATTTATACCTACGCATAAAGCCTAGTTTGCATTACCGGATTTGTGCTACAGTGCGCGATTTGGCTATAATGTTTGCTAATAGCAAACAACCCACTCTCTAACGCACTCTGCTCAAGTTTGCACTCAGACAGCTTCGTTCGTAGTTAAACGCTAAAAGCTGCTGGGTGTACGGATCTCGAATTGTCACAGACAACTTGAGACAGAGAGAGAAAAACAGTTTTGGCGACGAGTAACCAAAAGCCAATGAACCTAGAGAGCTGCCTCCCCAACAAAACAGCTCCACTGTTGACGTTTGGTCTACGTCGACAGTTGGCTAAGGTTTTCCAGATTAAGGTTCTGCGTCGGACAAAACTTCGGTCGTCTCTATCCAACCAAGGAAAGCACGAGGATGCATTACTTGCGTAGCTTCATTATTACAATAGACAGTCATTTAGTTATTATTGATTCAACTCGATCCTAGGTCTCGATTCATTTCGCGATTCGTAACTCTCGACACAATGACCAACCGTTTACCTTTGTCACATTTGTTTCCGTTCTTCCTCGTTTCGTTTCGTTCTACTGTTGTCACCTTGATGGCTTCAGGTCGAAGGTCGTCGTTGTTTGCTTGTCGGTAAAGAAGATGACTTCCACCTAATCTTCTGCACGTCGATGACCTCGATCGTTCTCTGCCTCTTTGAGGTTTTCGTGTTCTGCACCGTTGTCTTAATGTTTCGACTTATAACAATAGTCCACTTCAACAAAAACTTGCTTTATCTAGCAGTGGTTAAACTGTATGGATACAACATTGTACAACAGGCCAATTGCAAATTACGCTGCATATATATATATATATAAGCCTTTAAAATTCACTTAGCAGACAGCCTAGTAAATGTAAATCGTGTAAAATTTCGATCTCCGAGGCGTACAGGTTCCTGCAGAACGCCACTAAGCTCAGCGAAGAGACTAGCAGCCACCGTAGGTCCATGATCCGCCTATTAATATGACAGATAAATAAAATGAGCGCTATTATTTACGAAACATTTCATTGATACGTCCGCCATTAGAGTGTTGACATTTTCGCGGCCATCTTGGAAGAGAATTAGAAGCGTACGCGTAAACATCTACTGTGACATCGGTTTGCTGTCACAAAATTTTCATTTTACTACTGTTGTTTCTGTTGCCGTCGCGGTCGTGGGTAATTTTTCTAGATGAATTCTTCTTGCATTTTCCGTGCCTATTCTTTGATTCTATTACTGGAAAATAAGTAAATATATGTATATGTACTACATATAGACATCCTCTATATATGCATATTGTAGCCGTCATTGTTTCCGTATAGAGATTGCATCTGTTAGTCCCGTTTGAGTGTCATTTTTAGTCCCAGTGTGGAACTGCTGGTCCTTGATCTGCCACGTCAGTGTACGCTAGTCACCTTTTAGCACCAGTGAAGAAGAAAGTCCACGCGATGCTGCAAAAGCGTTTGTCGTGCTGTTTGGGCTGCTGCCGCCGCGGGTTTTTTTGCCCTAGGGGATCGCAATGCACATATCAATATATATATGGCTGTATATCACTACTATAACGTAAACGGGTTGGCTTCATGTCGAGAAAGGATGGCATACCGCTGTGTTCGCGAACTGAGTCGAGGGATAGGCACGAAACGGAGGGCTGGATTGCTTTGATGGTTTGTAGATCAGTATCACTATCCCGATACCTTCAGCTTGCAGCACACGAGCACTCGCTTTTGCTCATTTTCATATGGAACTTCTTCTTATTTACTGGGTTGTGCCAGTCATGGACGAGCGGGTTTTGTCGCTGACATCGCTCCGATAACTTTGCTGCTGTTGTTGTTGTTGTGGATGTTGTCACTATTAATTTCACTGTCTTGTTGCATGTCACCTCCGTCAAAAGCCCGCGATTGATGTTCATTGCGTGCTGTAGAGAACACAGTTTGATTTTAGGTTTGCTTTTGTGGGACCTTAGGTTCATTTGGTGAGTGTGTGTTAACTATACCCACAATTTGTCTCACTAAATTGTACCTGGCGGTGTTCATGATGCTTCCACAATATTACGTATTACCTCTAAGGATTTCATCGGTGTTCTTACAATTTATATAACTTCCCATGTACGAATGTGTCGAGCTCCACTTATTTAAACAAGTTACTGTTCCTGCTTGCCTTTCGCACGACACGTTTGTTTCGTAAAGCAATAGCTAAATTTACTCATCACCGCCTAGACAATTCGAAAAATACGAGCTCTTTTACAACGGCACCTTTTTTGAAAAGTCTATCTCTACATCTTAAGTACACGTTCTAATTGCTAACATAGACTCGTCCGATTGGTCCAGTAACATAGATGTTGAAATGAAGCTATAGGTTTGTGACACTTTGATTTCTCAACGCCAGCTCTGAATCAACGAACACCTATTAAATAGACGCAAATATATTCACTGCTCGAATTGATATGTGCCATAATTATCTTGTGGTTGGTGTTATCTTCCGCGGCCTTATCGTCCGAATTCAAATGGATCCGGTTGCCCGATACATCGGCCGAGCGCCGTCATCCAAATAGGCCATATTGGTGATGTCGGTAAGTTGTTATTATTGCAGATTATTTCTGGTCATTAACGATAGATAGGTTCGTGTTGGTGGGTGGTGAATCCGACTTAGCTGATCATAGGAACAGGTTGGGAAGAATATTGTTCTTCTGATTGTTGTTGCTGACGCTGTTCTACGCTTATCGCGTACTTGGTACACTTATGAATGGTAATTGTCTCTGTCGTTTGAGGGTGTCTCTTAATAGACCGGTGATAGAGAGACGTGACACGATCTACTGAGGAGGGACTGCAGCCGACTATGCACGAGCACAGGTGCTCACGGATGATAACGTTGATGGTGGGTGCGAAGACACAGCTTGCGTTCACCAAGATTGGGTGACACTTTCTGCATTGCAATTTGTAGTACAAAATTTTTTATTATTATTATCGTTGTTATAATTGTTATGGTTGTTGTCGTTGTTGTTATTGCTGTTGTTGTTATTATTCTTGTCGTCGTCGTCTATCGGCTGCAGTTCTGAACAACACTGAGGACTTCGGCAGAACTTCGGTAGAAGAAGAACCTCGGAGGCGCTTCAAGCCACTGCAGCGGCACTGCAGGCAGAACTAGAGAAGGTGCGGCGCAGACGCTTATATTGAGATGGAGTGGGCCGACTGTTAAATGCCTCGAGCTGACCGGAAGATGGCTTCCGTACACAAAGCCAGGGCAGAGTCGCCTCTACCGCCTGGCAATTGGGGTGTCAGCGGTTGTTTAGAACAGTGAGAACTGCAAAGAATAAATAAGAGGAAAACAGTTAGTGATACCACTTTAGTTTGCGATTATGAGCAGATTACCTATCCGTAGCTATAAATGGTCAGAGTTAGCTGGTCTAGTCAGACAACGGGGCTCCCTCCCGCAAAATAATCGTAATCCAACGGTGGACGAAATGTTGCAAATCCTTTTGCCGTTCAATGAACGCATATTGAATGAAGATGATGGATCATTATTTGGGATTTGTTCGGAAGCAGGATCCATGAAGAACAGCCGAGAGAACTAAGACGGGACTGGCGCTCGCATCTATACACTAGCTACGCCATTTTGAGCATTGGGAGCACGGCCGGATTAGTCTTGATATTGTCGCTCCCCACAACTAGCCGAAGCACACGGAAGAACTTATTAGGCTTATAATAATGATAACAAGAAGACGAAGGTGTTTTTCTATTTGTCCTGTTTTCTATTTGCTTGCCACCGCTATAATCGTCACCTATTTTGAGAGAAGCTACGTTGCTGATGTTCTATGCTTATAAGTGAACTAATACTTCGTAACTCTGCTAAGACTTAGCAAAAACTAAATCTATTGCATTTTTGGCTAGCTGGTATGTTGTTGTCGACCATCAGCCATAGGCAGCAACCCCGACTTCATTAACCCTTGAAGTTTCGTCTTCAACTCGGCCCGAAGTAGTTTATAGAAAACTCCACCAGTCAAATACCTCTAGTCATCCTCCCTATGCGTACCACAGCAACAGCTTAATACTACAGTATCTCGTTCGATTCCCACCCTGAAAGCGAAGTTCACTCTTTCTCTAAATCCGGTCACTCTTACAATTGGTCTTAGTCAAGCCTCACGCCTTATGATAGCGAATAGCACCTGTTCGCAGTGAGTTTACTCGTCTTACCGCCGACCCATTTTCATGGCTCTCCTCTACGTTTCTCGTGGATCATCTGTGTAGCTATATCTTCGTCCTCTGGCGCGAAATTGCCTTTTAATCTATATTCTTTCCACGACCATTAAATGATCTCCGCAGGCTGCTCGATTCGTTGATCGTTAGTTTTCGTTGAATGCTCGCCCAGTTTCCTGTCGGCGACTCGAGCGATCTTGTTCAACGTGTGTATCGCACTGGCAGTGGCCGTCCTGGCACCGCTGCTACTTCTAGTAAGATGTGAACGTGCGTGCGTCAGTGTGTGCGTTTAAATATTTAACCCAGAATAATCGACCTGAAGATTGCGTGATCTCACCATCTTTCGCAAAACGGCTGCTGATCTCTAGGCAGCTTTGAGCAGCCTACCCGGTTACCTCGGCCGTCTCTTTACTTTCTATTAAAGCTCTATCGCCAATAAAGGGTTAATTCGGCCACGCCCACCCGTGAAACGCAGCAAACGCGGCGGAGGCCACCGTCTCCTGACCGTCGTTGTTGTCGAAAAGCCTAAAGCAGCTTCACCGCCGCTGGCGGTGGTGAGATAAGTTTAAGCTTTTCAAAAGTAGTGAAAAAGAAGAAGACGTTGCTGCCAGGTAGGCAAGATGCGCGTGCGTGTGTGGGAGAGGAAAAGAGAGAACGAGGATGCAGTGTCTAACGCGAACGGCAGCCGCATCGGGGAACCAGCGGTCGAAGCAGTCATCGAGGCGGAAGTGAGCGCACACACTCTCACTCACTAACAAACGCTCGGCGGCAGCAGCAGCCACAGGCGGGAGCAAAACACGAAATTAATAACTTTTATGAGTTTACGCAGCCCGCCTCAAACCCGGACCCCGTTATATGTAAGCCCTCGAGCTAGTTCTCGACCTCGGGGGGTCTAAAGCCCGCTGAAAATTCCGTACGAACATTGACTGTCTGTCCCTACTGTGCTATGTTGAAAGCTTTCGTCGACCATCTACCGACGCAGGCCTGTCTCGGCGAGCCGCCCGATCGCTTGCTTGCTGGTGGCCTGGGCGTGGCGCTTTTTTAAGGACCAGGTGGGCAATATCAGAGTTAGAAGCAGTTCTAGCAGCGGTACTAGCTGCCGCGGCAGTAAGAGCCAACCCTCTTCTTGTTATCGCTCTGCATTATCTTATAACTGCTACGTTTAGCCGGAGAGCTGCCCCCTTCCTTGCACCCCGCAAAGTCTGCCAATGGGTAGACGGATCAACCGACCGACAGACGGCTAACTCAAGAGTTTAGTTTGTTTAGAGTAATGACTTAATTATCTAATCTCAGACTGACTGGTCAGGTCTCTACTCCGCATGAGCTCTCTGCCCATGGGTACGCACGACTTGAGGCTCGAGATGGACCATCGCAAGATCTTGGATCAGTAGCGTCTTAGTATACGCATAACACTCGCAGACATATGGAACGCTTATAATGCACACTCATCATAAGGACAAAGAGAGAGGCGCGATGGCCATAACGGAGGAGCGGAGAAAAGCTGTTTCGTCCGGCAGCGGGGAAAAGACCGACCTGGGTTTTCCACGCGGCTAATCTGCACGGATTAGGTTGCTTTGCTCACCTCCGTCATTGCCAACTTTGCTAATTTACACGTTAGAAAACGAACGCTGGTTGGTAGCAAACACAGAAAAGGTCAGATGCCTTTTACTAGGTGTTAGACGTGTGCTAGAAGTGAGAGGTAGCAAGCGAAAGGGGTAAAGCGGATTTTTTCTTTAGAGAATGAAGAACTTAGCAGTACTTGTACGTAGAGATCTCAGGCCATAGTAGTTTGCGTGTCCAAGTTTGTTCAAATTAATCTGCTCTATTTCCCCATTGTGAAGCTTTTCCACTTTGTGCCATTTTGCACAAATATCTCGATTTCTTGTACTATTTTTTCTTGTCGTTTTTTGTTTCAAAACGCGCATATATATCTGTGAGAAATACGATTTCTTTTTCTTTGACCGAAACATTTGGTTCTACATAGTTTATTCATCCCTTCAAAGATCTAACATGTTGATATTTAATAACCTGTAATATCCCGTATATAGGCCATATGGTGAACACATACGTACCTGCGATTGCACCGCGTTGGCGGCCGCCATTGAGGTGGCGTAGTCGTTACCATTTCCGTTGGCCCCGTTCATACCCATCCCATACATGGCGTCCGGGGGGGGAGGGCTGATCATCTGCCCCTGGCCTCCCTGGCCCCCATACGCCGACGCTCCAGCCGCTGTAATATGTCGCATCAACAACACAACAAGAACAGAACGGTTAGTTAGTTACTCAGTAGGATCCATTAGCATCCTGATCTGCGTTTTAACCTACCCATACAGGAGAAAATAAAACCATCAAGTACAACCAGGGCTATAAAGACCATTCTGTTTATTAAATAGGCGCAAAATGTTATGAGCATGTTGCTACCATCACAACAAAAAGCCAACTAATGGTATATCTAAACAATCTATTTTCTCTGAAACGCAAAAGCAACTCCGCTTCATGACCAAATATAGTTGTCACCGCAGACATCTCTCTCGAGCACGACCACAATTACCATCGCCACCACAACGACGATACGGTCGTAACTCCTCATAGCTTCTCGTTGCTCCGAAACAGCAGGATATTTTACCTCCTTCGCCTGCCACGTTGGCGGCGTCACCCTGGCCGAGCACTGATTTTCTGCGTTCCATCCCTTCAGGGGTCACCTCATGAGCCAATAGCGACCCACAAGTCGTGGCGAACGACTCCAAATGGCTAATTTGGCAAATGTCTCAAATGAAGCAGAAAGCACTGAACAGGGCCAATACCCCCTCTTTCTCTCGTTGTCTGTATTTCTCCCTTTATTTCTTTCACTCTCCGAGCTCTATCGTACTCCTTCCTAGCTCCGTGGCTGGCTGCTTGTTCCGAGTTCAAGGAGCTCGGGCTTAGGAATGACGCTCCTTTAGTCTTCTCCAGCGCACAGCCCGACCCCGCAGTTAGTCGGTCGGACGATAGACAAGGGTAGAAAGCAAGCTACGGTAGTGGCAATATGACGAGAGCCGAAGACACCATCAGTACCAGGGTACGCTCGTCTTGCTGGCGGGCTATCTAGCTGGTCTGTTCCCCGAGGCAAGCAAGAGGAACCGCGCGGACGAAGCGGATTGCTACAACTAAACAACCAGCCAATCCGGTGGAAGTGTCCCTCAGCAGACCGGACGAGATCATAATCATGACGTTCGCATATATCTAAGACATGTAATACGCGCGGTCAATTATACTTATTAAAGTATTACTTGGAGAGAAGGGGCCAGTGCTAGCTGATTCTTCCTTTGTCCTCTTCTTGCCTTTGTTCTTTTTATTCCTCAGTATAATAGTTCCTTCTTTGCCTTCTTCTTAGCCATCATCGAGGAATACTTGCCCGATTAGGCCTTGTCGTGCTACTTTTCGTAAAAGACGTAGCATAGGAAAGCTAAAGAGACTTTGCTTTTTTTTTGTGTCTTGAATCCCCCCGTCGTCGACCTCCTCTGCGACTTCTCATTTCGGATGCCTGAATCAATCATCTCAGAAGGGACCCGGAAACGGCAGGGACCAAACTTGTCAGACCAGGAAGCGGATGGACGGAAAGAGATCAACTTAAATCGTCGCAAATTCAAACAGACTCACAGTGCAAAACTTAAGAGAGAGAGGGAGAAAGAGAGAGATCCGGTGCACCAGATTGCTACCAACCACCGTTGAATTAGGAAATATACCTCTTGTATAAGAGAAACGGGTAGCCCGCACGAACGCTGCCTAAACAGCAGACACTCTGAAAAAGCCCTTTGGAAGAGTGCTAAACCCCACCCGTTGGGTTTTCCTTTACCTTCTATAGCACGAAAATCAAATAGATAAATTGCACGAAGGCCAGACGAATCCTTGCCGTGTTTACCATTGCAGTTTTTCGTTGCCAAGTGAGCGTAGCTGACAGCAGCGACAAAAGAAAACAAGTTCCTGCTCTATTTTACCCTCTTCGTCGATCGATGCGCGTGGGTAGAACTCTATCAGTATACTCAAAGCGAGTAGATCCGATTTGTTTATGTGGTTGCGCAGTCGGGACTCGATGCCGAAGGCTTAGTCAGAAACGAACGTAGCAAACGGCTGCAGAGGCAAGACGGCTGCAGAGGCAAGACGGCTGCAAAAATTGGCAGCATTTTTTAAGAATAGGCGGTTACTATTAAAGTACCGAGCTGCAGCAGCCTGTCTTTTCTAAGAACTATTATTAGTAGCGTAGCAGTGTTGGGCCACTCGCTCGCCATTACGATAAGAATCTGCCTTTTACTCAGTTAGCCAATTAGGCGGTGGCTAGTGATGGCACAGCATCTGCTAGCAAAGAGCATGCCTGTCTTCCTGTCAAGCTAAGCAGGCAAATAAGCCAGCAACGACGACTGTGTTAGACCGTTGCTGTTGTCGTCGATTTCGTCGTTGGCAAGTTTACCAAGCTTGCCCCGCCGCCACAGTTGTAGCTATGGCCGTATATTAGGTTTTGTACAATGGCCCTTCTACGGCTCTGCGCTGTTGGGCCTTTCTGCTAGCGTGGCTGTACTAGGTTAGGCGCGACGGCACTGCTGCTGCTGCTTCAACAGAGCTCCTTTGCTCTTCTTGCCTGGATCCTCTTGAGGTAGAGGGCAGCGCCCAGTACCCACTCGTCAACAAGGAAAGATAGCGGGTGAGACAGAGAGAAGGACAGAATGGAAAAGGACCAATACGACGAGCAGGAACGACGGCGAAAGAGAAGCGACGATCCGTCATCCGTCCAATCGGCTAAGTGCCTCCTGGCGAACTCCTGGAGGCGCGGCGCAGTTGCGGCTGCTACTGCTGCAGTGTCCGTTGTTGCTATTTCGGAATGAGAGACGAAAGAAGGAAAACGCAAGGGCCAATGGCCACTTGCGTACAAACAGGAAAGGTAGGTCACCGAAAGATAAGAGGCCGCTTAGAGAGTAAAGAAGGCTGGTAACGAGGCAGGCGAGATCAGAAAGGCAACAGCATCGAATAAAACCCATCTTACGGATGGTGGAACAGCAACAAAACGAATCTTCTAGCTTTGAAAGACAGGCAATATCGAGTCTGATCAGGTAAAACACGATGACGAGCTGCCCGCGAGAATCTGTTGTCACCATTATTAATATGTAGTTATATAGTTCCTGTAGTAGAGGCGGCGATGTTTCCAATGATGAGGTTTGCAAAGATTACAAACACGTGAATGCAACATAACTAGAATCCAATTTCAGAAAGTCATGATTATTCATTATATGACTAAGCCAAAATAAAAAAAAAAACTTTTCCGTTCGCACACGCCGTGCAATTGTACGCGTTGTTGGCGAGACTCGAAATCAGCTATTCATACTGCTTTCGGTCGACCAAAGCCGGAAGTAAAGAACAGGACCTTTACTATTTATAATTAAAATAGGCTCCAACTGGCTCTGTGGCAAAAAATAGGTAGAAATGCGGTAGAATCCTGAAAGTGGGTGACATCAAAAGGAAGTCTGGATTGCTTTTCAGTCTTTTGCTGGTCTATTCTACAGCTTTCTGTAGCGCAAGCACGAAAATGATGACCCATGTTGCCGACCGACGCTGCGGTACTATCAACGTCCAATAGTGCGCCAACGCACCATACTGTGGTTCTGTTGTGGATGTTGTTGTTGGCGCTTCTGCGAGGCTGCTCTGCTCTTTGCGTCTACGAAAGACGCGACTCCTGCATTAGCCTAACAAGGCTCACAGGGGATAGTGTAGGCGGTGAATCCAAGGTTCTCTCTTTTCTACAATGAAGAAAGTGGCAGCTACCAGTACAGCGGGGCAAAAGCAGTGCGAATAGCCAAACGAGGAGTGAGGAAAAAGGTGGATATTGGTCATGGGCACACTGAACGGGCCAAAGCGGCGTTGGTTAGGGCATGGCAAGTCTCCCTTCGTTTTTCTGTACGTGTGGGTGCCGTTGCCCTATGTGTCGACATGTGGGCGGCCAACTGCCGGGTCAAGACCAACTGATTTGGTTCATCGTATGCCGTGTTCGGTACAGCATGTGTAGGTGACTGTGTATCTGAAGACTATTCAGTATTGGACGCGATGTGGCTCACGTTGCTGCTGGCTGTTTTCACCGCGCTATTTGGCGTAGGAGGTATCAGTTAGCACCACAAAAGACGTCGAGCCACGGTGCCTAGCATGGGACTGCTAGCATTTGCCAATACCTCGAAAAGGCGAGAGATTCGCTTTCCTTCCGGATAGTATATACATAAAGGCAGAGACAGACAGAAAACGCGCGAAACAGACACCCACACAAACACACCATGTATATAGACTCCCATATTGCAAGCAGTGCTTATGTGTTGGCGTTGGTATTCCCTCCTGCCTCCTTTTTTCCTCGCGATTGCCGCCTTTTTCTTTTTCGTATTCTTAACCGCTTTCCAAGGATACGGTCATGGAACACAAGACAGGATCAACAAAGCTCCATCGTCTAACCATGCTGGGCTAGAATCGGGTCTTTTCTTTTTAAGATTTAAGCCCAGGTCAATCGGCTCAGCTCGGCATCTTCTCAATACGACACGAGAGGCATTGAGCGAAAGAGAGAGACACGGTTAGTCAAAGGGGACAGAATCCACTTTTCAGGATGCAAAGTGAGGTCAACGAATGTCTGGCTCAGCAAAGGGAAACCGCTAAATTGTCACAGCCATAAAGTTCCACACCAACACCAGAGGCAACACGTAATCCGACAGCAATTGACCACGGCCTTGGCGGGCGCTATGGAGATGAAACTGTATTGACTTGTAATTGCACTACAGGTGTGCACAATAGCCACTGGCGACAGAGACCGTGTACAACTTCGAGAAGAACTAAGTACTCAGACGCAAGCGAAATCCGACTTGACGCCATCCTCGGAGCACCTGCCCAGCATCAACCACTGATTGACGATATTAGTTGCTGTTCATTGAAATAAAATGCCCTTTTCTCATTCATATTTTATAATTATTTTAGCACAGTAGCCGCACGCTTAATATGCTTTATGCTGAAGAGCCTTTTCGTATACTGTTTCTTCTATGAAAATTAAGTGAACATTTGGCCTGTTGTTTAAGTGCCTTTTGTCGCTGTGCAAACGGACGCGAGGATTCTGCGTATTTTTATTCGTTTCTTCCTATCAATGGTTACCGGTCGCCGTTTGAGAAATCTCCAACTGTTCCGCCATTACAATATGCCCGTACACCGTAGACATTTCGGAGCACGCGCTGT